TCTTTTTCCTATTCTCTTAATGATCTCTTGAATCTATATTAATCTTTACCGACTGACAACCAGGCTACACCATTGGTTTCCTGTTCTGAAAATGGTCTTTCATTGCCTACCACATGGCCAGGCTGAAATTTTCCTGTTTTCTGTTTTGGCCCCCTTGTAATTACAAGTTATTTCTTCTCGGTATTCTTTTACTCTTACTTCACTACAGTCATTTAAAAGTAACCATGCTGCATTATGAATGCTTTACTGTTTGGAATTTCTTCCACCAGGTATGCTAGTTCAACTTTCTTTAATTCTGCATTTCAGAGAGCACTAGAGCATGAACATAGAACAGCCAAAGTCTTTTTGAAACTTTAAATCAAGGATGATCTTTATTCCAGCTTCCAATGTCATGCTCCTTCATTTCATTCATGATGCTGTCAGAATGGCCTTTACAATCCACATGTGTATGAACATTCTGGTTACAATCACAAAGGTGATTTCTGAGAAGCTATAGACTTTTCTTGGTCTTTTATTCTGAGCCTTCCCTGAAATTTTCTGTAACACACTTTTTGCAGGATTTCTCTAACATTCAATTCTAAACTGGTCCACCTTCTACCAATTATGGAGTTCCAAGCCACTTCCACATTTTGAGGCATTTGTATAAGAGCAACTCCAGTCTTGGTACTGCTTTTATGTGTTAGTCCATTTTCTGTTGGTCTAAGGAAACACATAAGTTGGATAATTTATGAAATACAAATTTTTTGGCTCAGTGTCCTAAAGGCTGGGAAGCACAAGAGTATGGCACAGCATCTGGTATGGGTCTTCTTGATGCATCCTAATGTGATAGAGGGAATCATGTGGTGAAGCACAAATATACTAGCTTTCTGTTTCTCTACTTATAAAGCCATTAATGCCCTCATTGAGGGAGAGGGATTCCTTCTCATGGCCTCATCTAATCCAAATTACCTTTCAAAGGTCAAATATCATTAACCTGAAAGTTTGGGGATTAATTTTCTAATCAATGGACTTCTGGGGCACACATTCAAACCACAGCTAACACCCCAGCCTCTCAGTACCACCTTTACTTCCTCCGCCTCTCACAAGTCATTCTCTGCAGCTACTTATAACCAGCACCTGCAGCCCCTCCACAATCTCCAGTTTAACCTTTCCTCTGCCCCCATACCACCAGCTCATTCTAACCCAACCAATTCTTCTGACCTCAAATAAATTGATTTAGAAACAAATTTTATTTTAGTCCATCTTTATATTATCCATCATACTACTAAACACATCTGCTGTCAGCTGCAATCAGCAGATCCTACTGTTCATTTAATTCTTCCACTGTAGTACTTCTTTTTTTTTTTTTTTTTTTTTTATAACCGGGGATTGAACTCAAGCCCTTGCGCTTATTCTACTGAGTCATCTCCCTGGCCCCCTCATTGTGTCACTTATCTCTCACTTCTACCCTTACAAAGTAATGAACTATAATGACATTCTTTGTATAGTTTAGGAAACCGAGATTTCTATAGATAAATCTTTCCAAGATTAAATAAGTAAATAGTCGTGGGGCTAGAATTTTAAATATCTCAGTCATGCTTTCCTTGATAGTAAACTATAAATAAAGATTATTCACTTCCTTGACTGTAAAGATCACATATTTATTCTATCAACTGTGAAGTGCCCTACAAACATCAACTATAATTAGTTATCGATGACTACAGAGGCTTTCCTATTCCTCTTTAGAGAACTCTTAACCCAAGATTTCCTTTGGCCCTATTCATTCTTTATAGCTCTATACACATAGTAAACACTGTCATTGTCCCACTGGAAGAAAATTCATCTCTGACACAAGTGTCAAAACTCCAGATGCAAAAAACGGGCAAAATCATAAGTTGTGGTTAGATTTTAAGTTCCAACTGAATGCACAGTTTTATTACATCCTAACAAACATTTATAAGCTAGGCTATAATTCATTATAATCAGCTGACTAATAAAAGAACTTGCATAACACTTTCCTAAATTGGTGAACACCTGACTTACACTTTCTTGTATAAGTTGAACAAGAATTCAGAAATGACAGAGCCAAGCTGAAATACAAAGATGTTTTTCAAGTTTTATATAGAACTTGGGACCCTGAATTTTTGAGACCCTTTCCTCATGTCCAGGGAGAGTATTCATATGTGCAAAGAAAGTCTATTCCACACACTAGAATCAGCTGTGGGCCCAACTCATTCCATTCTGTTCTTACCAGAGCTTCACCAACAAGACATCCTAGGGCCAATAAATTTTCTTCTAATTATATATGTAAAATACTAAATAGTCAAGCACATTGATGGATGCCTATAATCCTTATACTTGGGAGGCTGAGGCAGGAAGATACCATGAGCTTGAGGCTAGCCTGGGCTACATAGCAAGTTCAAAGTCACCCTATTTCAAAACAAAATAAAACTAAACAAAACCAAAATACTAGGTATATCACTTCCTTGTAAAAATAAAAATAATAACTACCACCAGGGTTAGCAAGTAAAAAATCCTTGACCTGCTATTTTTTCTATCATTTTCCCTATTTTATTTCTCCTCTACTCTAGACTGATATACTTCCACCTGTGAGACTTTTTTTCATCACGTAAACTATCCTCTTCTGCCTTCTGATGCTATCTGGCTGCTCTTCCTATATTTTAGCTCCAAAATTGATACTGAAACTATTCCACCAGAAAGTCTCAGAAGGAAAGCTATGCATGTGGTGCTCTTACATAATTATCCTGCTTGGTAATACTGCCTAGGAGTTTGGACTTCCATGAAAGGCAAGTACCAATCTAGAAACATGCATATCTGTCTCTTTGTTCCCTTAATGTCTCTGAATGCATGCAGAAATAATGTCTACACCTCATGGTTTGTTGATTTAATAAACAGATGATACATCACAACGTAATATAATGGTATTTTTTTTACATGTATTCCCTGGGATGTTTAAGATAATGTTCTGGCATAAAGTACATGTTTAATACGGATTTTTTTTCTCCAAATGCCTTCAGGGCAGGTTTGGCTGGCTTGAGTTGTGGGGCTTGAACCCCAGCAACCTGAGCCTGACAGCTTTGTTGAAGCAGTCACTTAAAGAAATGAGCTAAGGGGCAGGCCCCTAGTACATGTTTAATAACTATTTAATACCCACTATTTTATCACTGGATCAAACCCTATTTTGCCTCCTCTTTGTTCTTTGCTTTTCTATTCTAGGATACTCTTAGTTTGTTTCCTGAAAGGAGGAAAAGCTGGCTTGTCATAGTATTAAAACCGGGTTTACATGCTGTTATGTGTTCACCAAATTGCTTCCTTTTCTACTGAACACATTTTATTTCCCAGCCATATGACATTTAGGTGGCATTATGTGACCATGCATGTGAATTCTGGCTAAGGGAAAGCGGTAAAATGACTTTCAGGACTGACTCTCAACACTGGCCAACTTAGCCACAGACCCCTTCTCCTACCCACAGATGGCCTATAGGTGGCACTGCAGTACTCGAAGGCTGTGTGCTGTGGTGGGTCTTCTGGATGGGGGAGCCAAGTTCTCAGAGGAATGAAAGGATGCACATCTCCACCTACACGTGGGCAACGCATATCACACTGTGACTTGTATGAAACATAAACGTTCATGGTTCTGCTACTAAATTTCTGTTACCCAGACCTAATTAACACACCGGATTTATCACTAGCGATAGCATACATGAAATGAACCTTTTAGACTTAGTTCTAGAAGCTGGATACAAATCCCGGCTGTGTCATCCCTCCCCCACACATAATCCACGACCTGCTCCTAGAATACAATCTGTGTCTTTTTCCAACTGGTCCTGCAGCTCGTTCTCCTCCTTCATTGAGCGCCCGTTCTTCGACCTCACAATTTCTCTGACACCCCTCCGCCCAGGCCCTCTGCTCCAGTCTCAATATCTATCTTTTACTGCAAATACTTGTTGACACATGCTTCCAGAGTTCCTTGGTTCCCACGAGTTACTTACAAGGTTTGCCAAACAGCAGGAGACAACTATGTATTAAAAGAATGTCACATAAAACATTAAGAGAGTCACTTTTGGGAGGATGAAATAATGAACGTGGTTTATCAGTTACAAACAGATTCTAACAGTAATATGTCCGTCCTGTTTTCTAGGCCCTTCTCATCTTTCCCGACCAAATCCATCCTAATGCTTCATGGAAGAACCGTGCCGTGGGATTTTATAACAAGCTACACTTGTAATTTAGAAACTTACAGTAGACATTAATAAAGCTAAAAACGGTGAAATTAAGATCAATCACATATTTAACCCAAGGTATTTTCCACTTTTTAAAAATCAGGCCTTCCGGACCTCGCTGGCGCGCACTTACGTCCCGGTCACACCAGCCTGTCCAAGAGCTGAGGCCACGCGCGGCTGGCGCGGGTCACGACCGCCCGCCCAGAGGCCCACCGTCTGCCCGCCGGCCGCAGGACGCCGGGGCCGGGCCGGGGGCTCCTCCTCCTCCCGATGACCAGGACCCTCGGGGCGGGCCGCGTTGCAACCCCGAGCTGTCTCGAGAGCTCGCTCTCGCCGCCACGACCGGGCCTGCGACGCGACGCGCGGCGAAGCGGGAGTCACTGACGCAGCGAGGCGCGAGGCGCGAGGCGCGAAGACCGGAAGCGCTCTTCGGGAGACCTCGGCCAGCGCCCGCGAGAGGCCGAGCCCGGCGCGCGGCACGTGCAGCCGCCGGCCCGC